AAAAAGAGATGCGTCGATTTTCGTTCGTATAGGCCGTCCAAATTACATTTTCGGGGTTAATTTTACATATTGTATATGGGATTTTGTGTAATTTGGACGGCCTATACGAAAAAACGTCGACGCATCTCTTTTTTTTCTGACTGTACATTCATCACTAAAGTCAGACAAAGCAGTTTGTAGTACAAAGAATTATTCAAATATGGAAAATCTCCCTACAAGAAAATTGTATGATAAAAACAAGACCAAAAGCAAGATCCTACATATCACAAAGGAAGAAAGAAAGAAATCATAGATGTAAGAATTGAGCGACAAGGAGAGATAGCAGAAAAATACAAATATCTAGGAACCATGATTAGTAAAGATGGTACGATAGATCAAGATATGACGTAACAGAATAGCAAAAATATGTGGAGTCTTTTACCAGATAAATAATACCGTGGTAAGTACGAAAGATTTAAGCACCAAAGCAAAATTACATATATACAAAACCATCTATGTATCACCTACACTCACCTATGGGTCGGAAACTTGGACAATGTTAGATAGACACAAATTAAAAACAGGAGAAACTGAAATGAAATATCTGCAAAAAATAATATGAAAAACTACAAGAGACAAAACACAAACAAGGGCGCCATAGAACTAAGAGAAGAACTAAGCCTGAGTGCTCTAAATGATAAAAAATAGCCGAAATAGTATGGCCTCCTGGTTCGAATAGATAAGAAAAGAATACCAAAGGAAATATTAAATATAATACCAGAATGAAGAAAAAGTGGAGTTAAAAGTGGAGAATAGTGTCGCCGAAGTATGAATAATGGTTAATTTAGGCAAGAGAAGGAAGAAGAAGAGGATGTGTCATTAAGATTTCCATTGATATGGATCAATTTTATCAGGATACTGAATGTATTCTTCGATAGTCAGATGAAGGTTTTCGATACTCGAATATGTGCTGTTATATTTATTTACAAATTCGTCCAAGTAGAATGTCCATTCATCACTAAAGCAATATTTTTTAAATTATTGTTACTATCATCTTCAGTTAGCTCTTGATGTATTTTCAATTTTTCATAATAGAATTTATGAAATTTTATAATATCATCAACAGAACCCAAGGAAATTCCAGTTCCATGAGAAATTTGATGTAATGAAGTATTCGGATTTATGCTGAAATGATCCAACACTTTCCCTCAAGGGGCTTCATATAAAACTTAGCTGATTATCAGTTGCAGTTATATGAAAAACTAGAAAAAACAACACACAAAGTACACAAGTACAAACAAGGGTGTCATAAAAGAACTAAGCTTGAATGCTCTAGTAGAAGAGATAGACAAGATATAGACGAAATGCTATAGCCACATGTTTCCAATGGCTAAGGAAAGAATACCAAAGGAATTGAATATAAAACCAGAAAGAAGAAGCAGTGGTGATAAAAACGGGGAAAAATATCGCCGAAGTATGAAGAATGGTTAAAGATAAGAAGACTTACAGGAGATGGATCCGAGATCTAATACCATGAGATAGAATTTAAGGCAAGAGAACGAAGGAGAAAAAGATGTATCATTAAAATTTCCAGATATCAATTTTATGAGGATACTAGATGTATTCTTCGACAGTAAGATGAGGAATTTCGTTACTCCAACAGGTGCAGTTATATTTATTTACAAATTCATGCAAATAAAAAATACTTTCATCTCTAAAGCATATATTTTTTACATTTTTGCTACTATCGTTCAGTTCAGTTAGCTGGATTTCAATCTTATCAGGATAGAATTTATGGAATTTTATAATTTTATGAACAGAATCCAAGGCAATTCCATTTCCACCAGATATTTGATGTAATGAAGTATTTGGATTTTTGCTGAAACGATCCAACACTTTCTTTAAGGGGCTCCATATAAAACTTTGCTGATTACATTATACAGATTGGCAAATCCATCTTGGCCGGTCAGTTGCGCAGAAGAAGAAGTGCGACAGTAAATTATTGAAGCAGCTACCGTTGGTATAGCGCTCGCCAAAAATTTAGTACATACATCGTAAAATTACAGTTATGCAAGGTTGGAATCAAAAAATCATAACTCCAAAATTTGAGGATTTAAAGAAATGGTCTTCAATACATTAAATACTAAATAAATTTACTTTAAATCGCTTTTTATTTCATAATGATATCTCAATTAGTTTTGGAGATATGATTTTTTTAACGTCTGTCCTTAAAGTTTAGAATAACCAAATATGACAAGTTGGATTTAAAAAATCATTACAACGATGTTTATGGAAAATAAGAAATTATTTATAGTGTATTAAATCTTCATTAAATTTGCTTTAAACTGCTTTTAATATCATAACGATATCTCAATTGGTTATTGAGATACGTAAAGATCAATTATCCTAACATTTATGTTTAAGGTTGTGCAGGGTTGCAATAAAAGAACCATAACTCCAAAATTTGAAGATTTAAAGAAATGATCTTCATTACAGTAAAAACTAAGTAAATTTACTTAAAAATTGCTTTTTATTGCATGATGATATCTCAATTAGTTTTGGAGATACGTTTTTTTTAACATCTATTCATAAAGTTTAGAATAACCAAATATGACAAGTTGGATTTAAAAAATCATAAAAACGATGTTTATGGAAAATAACAAATTATTTATGGCACATCAAATCTTCATCAAATTTGCTTTAAAATGCTCTTTATTTCATGGTGATATCTCCATTCGTTCTTGAGATACGATTTTTTAATATTTATATTACATATCTATACCAATCAAAAATGTAGAGTTAAATTAAAAAATCGGAACAACGATGATTATAAAAAATAAGAATTTATGCTGCATTAAACCTTCATTAAATTTGCTTTAAACTGTTTTTAATATCACAACGATATCTCAATCGGTTATTGAGATATGTAAAAATCAATTACCCTAATATTTATGTTTAAGGTTATGCAGAGTTGCAATAAAAGAACCATAACTCCAAAATTTGAAGATTTAAAGAAATGATCTTCATTACAGTAAAAACTAAGTAAATTTACTTAACAATTGCTTTTTATTGCATGATGATATCTCAATTAGTTTTGGAGATACGATTTTTTTAACATCCGTTCATAAAGTTTAGAATAACCAAATATGACAAGTTGGCTTTAAAAAATCATAACATCGATGTTTATGGAAAATAAATAGTTATTTACATAACCAGTTAGGAAAAGATTAATTTTGTTTGACGAACGTAATATTTGCCGAAAGAGTTAAGTACTGTAATGTGTTAAGTACAAAATTTTATCTAATTCCGTTGAAAAAGCAATTTTTGTTCAAAACTTGACTTATTCTATTAGTGACAGATGTCAATTTATCAATTTGTAGTTAGTTAATAGAATTCAATACATCACTAGTGATGTAATGAAATAATGTAATGAAATCATTACATCACTAGTTATAAAAAAGTGACGTTACTTAACGCCAGAAAGACATGTAAAATTTAATTTTCATAATGGAATTAGGTAAAAAATATTTATACCACATTATATCTTTATCAATTTTGTTTTAAAATGCTTATCTCTAATATCATAAGGCCAAAGCTTGCGAAGAAGAATCTTATTATTCATAAAGCTGTTTTTAAATAAACATTAAAATTGTTGATGAATTCGTTCACTTTAATCACCTTAATTATAGAATTCCCTTATACAATTTAAATTACAACACAAATGTAGAATTACAATTATCAATAACAAATTATAAAGTTATTTAATACCCTGTCAACTGTAATAAATAATTATTATGGGTCACGTTAGTGAATAGTAGTAAATATATGATCATCGTCTGAATGTAGTTATACATAATTATTGTTCCACATGGATTGTTTTAATCTGATTTATAATTAGCTCAAGTTATGGTTGTAAATAATCGGGTCGATGCTGTTTTCCCATCAGGAAGTCGAGCATAAATCATAACTATCTGTAATTTTCGCGTGCATCCATCTTGCGGGTGTGTGGCGTTTACGTGTTGGACGACCCGCGGGCTGCGTCACGACGACCTCCTGGCCCGCGGGTCGGGGTTGAAATACGGCCCGTGTCGTGATTGTGTTCCGTGTTCGCCCGTACCCATCCGGCGACACCGTAAATAAATAATATTTAATGTGTTGTTAAACGGCTTTACGATTGCACAGCAGTTTTATTTCGTATACCGAAAGGGATCTAAATTTAAAAGCGGGACGGTGGTATTTTTATTTCGACGCTTCCTAAAAGATTAATATTTAACGGCGAATTTTGATTGAATATAATGGGTACGAGAGATTTCTTTTTTTGATAAGTTTTCTTTGAAGAGGTACGTTTCGCGTTGTGAGGTATTGCTTTTGAGTAGCTGGTTTAATGATATAATTTAATGCGGCGATCTGTTCGTCTCTTCGACACGAACTCTCGGCCTTTAACCGACTATTTCTTCAGCAACTTGGGTGGTCCGACGAGTCCGAACGCGAGTTTTATGACAGTATCGTTAGCCCCTCGGCGGTTTTTTTTTCGCCGAAGGGCTGCTTGCAACACTAATAATCCGATGTGTTGCGAAAACGTCTCCCAAGATAGTAATTAATTTAAACAGCCATAATTATTGATTAGTTTCGACGACAACTTTTGTCCTCGTCGTTTCTGCAAATCGTTCCCACGACTAAAAGCTGGCGTTATAGTGTTTGTTAGATCTGATTGGAGAACGTTTTCTCTACTGTTCAATTGTAGTTTGTAGCCGGAGGAGACCTTAAGACGTTCTTTCGTGTAATAACACCGTAGCCCTTCGATCGTAAAAACAATTTTACAACGCTCGTTGGTGCTCACGCAATATCCAGCACGTGGAACAGTACTTATCCGGAGACCCAAGAGCTATTACGTACGTGCGAATATCGGTTGTTGACGGCAGTTTGTGGGAAAGGTGAAAATAAAATTATAGGGAGTAGGAAGAGTATATAAGATTAGAATGTAGATGGTTTTATGGTTCTAATAAAAATAACTTTGTTTGGATGCGAAAAAGCTTTATTTTTAATGAGAGTCGCCTCCCTTTACCTTTTTACCTTGAACAAATACATTAATTACATTTCTATCATCGCCGAGGAAAATAAACTTTTGCAGCAACTCCAGGGGAGTGCATCTCTTAAAATAATCGACAGCTGAGTTTTTAACATCCATATCGACAATGACAGCATCAAATTCTTTTCCAACTTCAAAATTACCAACCTTTTCTTCGATCCCAAGAGCAGCAGCTCCGCCCAAAGTTGCCAAATAAAATACTTCTGCATAATTCAACGGTTGGTAACAACAATTTTTTCCAAACGAAATACATGTCGATACTTCGATGGCTTTTCTCATTGCTTCGATAATTGATGGTTGTGCACCACCAGCAACATCTAACAAAAATAAAACCCATAAAATAATTTAACAACAAAATAGAGCAAATTTACCAGTTCCCAAACCAACTTTTACTTTAGCTTTTAAAATCTTTCTAACATCACACATTCCAGACTTTAATAAAGTATTTGATGATGGACAATGAGAAATTGATGTTCCCTTTTTCTCAAGTAATTTAAGTTCATCGTCTTCCAAGTAAATTCCATGCGCCAAAATTGTCTACGATTCAAAGAATTGTAAAGAATGAAGTTTATTAAATACAATAAAATCTCGATATAACGGACTAATACGGAGAAGGAAGTGTCTGTTATAGCCAAAAGTTTGTTATATGAAAAATTATTAACCGTGGAGTTTAGCCATGTGTCTCTTAACATGGCTAAATTCGAATGTTTCTAGTTCTAGGTTTAGTGTTAGATCAATGAAAAATATATAACAACATCTAACGCTGAATAACAACTAACATTAGAACTAACACTAGAGCTAGAACTAGAAACATTCGGATTTAGCCACACGTCTCTCAAGATCGCTAAGCCTGAATGGTCATATTTAGTAGCAGGGATGACTGGGCGAAAGGAGGGCCTCAACTAAAAAGAGGAGCCCTAGCCTGGTACACCGATGCTTCAAAGACAGTAAGATCTGGAGTAGGCATGGGCATCAGTGGACCAAATAGCCACATCAAATTGCCCCTCAGCTCGGACTTAACAATTTTCCAAGCAGAAGTTCTTGCTATAAACTTCTGCACCGCTTTGAACCTACAGAAGGGACAAAAAGGTGCATCCATAAACATTTTCACAGACAGTCGGGCCGCCTTAAAGGCAATTCAGGCCTACACGTGTGGCTCCGCACTGATCAGAGAGTGCACCAACAACCTGAGAGAACTCGCTAGGGGCAATGATGTTACCCTATGGTGGGTTCCAGGTCACAGCAACATTGAGGGCAATGAGAAGGCCGACAAGCTGGCCAAAGAGGCAGCAAACACGCCCTTCATTGGACCACAACCTGGATGTGGACTACAAAAAAGCCACCTAAAACAAATAATCAACAACTGGGAGGCTTCAAAGATAGCCTTACGCTGGAAAGTACTTCCAGGTCACAGACAAGCGAAGTTATGATAACTCCGTCGCAAAACAAAACCAAAGAGGTTTTATGCCTCAGCAAAGGGGATCTAAGAACGCTCTCAGGCTACCTAACCGGCCATGTGCCCCTAAAATACCACCTCTTCCACATTGGACAAGCTGAGGATCAAACTTGTCGACTATGCAACGACGAGTCAGAAACTGCTGAACATATACTGTGCAATTGCGTCGCCAGAGGCCGTCTAAGGCACAACGTCTTCGGTAAAACTCCCCTGTTACCTACCGACATAAAGGTTCAAGACCTCAGGACAATACTAAGGTTCATTAAGGACCTACATTTGCCCTAAACCTTTGGAGGGCTAAAGTTACAATAGATCTTATAGGTCGTGGTAACGTGAGGGGCCGCCCTCCTCAGCCCGGCAGCAATAATAATAATAAAGCCTGAATGATTGTAGTTCTAGGTCTTGTGTTAGTTCTACTGCAAAACTAGAACTAACACTAGACCGAGAACTAGAAACATTCGGATTTTGCCACACGTCTCTCAAGACGGCTAAACCCGAATGATTCTAGTTCTAGGTCTTGTGTTAGTTCTAGTGATAGTGCTAGTGTAAAACTTGAACTAACACTAGACCTAGAACTAGAACGTATCGGCTTTAGCAGTGCGTCTTCAGACGTGATTTATACATCGTATACACAGGAAGGAATACTCCGAACTTGTCTATGAATATAGAATAGAGTGGGATTCTATCTATGAGCACTAACATTTATATTTAAATACAGAATGTTTCATAATATATGCGCAGGACTTGAGGATGTGATAGCTAGCCCAAAAATTTGAAAAAAAGTTTCTATCAACTAAATAATACAATTGATTTTTTTTATTAAATTTCAACACCCTGTATCTCGAAAATGATACATTTTAGAGGATAAGTTGATAGAAACTTTTTTTCAAATTTTTGGACAAGCTACCACATCCTGAAGTCCTGCGTATAAATTATGAAACACTTTGTATATTGATAGTAATATTTTTACTTTAGGTGTTAATAATCGTGCATTATCATAAGCTTCAGCATATCCCATTCCATATGCTTTTTTAACTTGATCGATTTCCTCCTTGTTTTCGGAAATATGAGTTTGTATATTCAAGTCGAATTCTTCAACAATATCGGCCAAATCTAACATTAATTCAGTGTCTACGCTTAAAGCAAATCTTGGCGTTATAATTGGTTGGACTAAATCCGACTAAAACATTAAATTTTGTAAAAATTGTTTCGAAATATTTTTTTATGAACCTTTTTAGCATAAACGTCTTTAATAAATTGTTTTGTATCTGCAATTGAACTTTCCCTCGTTTCAATATAATCCTTAGGAGCTAAGGTTATCATGTTAACTTTTCCAATAAACGCTCTTTGGCCGTTTTTAATACAAGCATCAGCTAATAATAAATTAGTGTCTTTGAAGATAGTGGCAAAATATGCAGCTGTAGTAGTTCCATGTGCTATTGTCTTGCGCTTAAATTAGAATAAATTATTAATAATTCAATCTTTTTGATGTTTTTACGTACCACAACTGCATCATAAACAAGTTGAGCAAACGCGCTCTCTTTAAATAATGTTTCAGTTGGATATGTATAAGCAGTTAACCATTCCAACAGAGGTTTATCATATCCAAGACCAGAATTGGGATATTGAGGAGCATGAATATGTGTGTCGATCAAACCTGGAATTAATATTTGGGTTGGAGTTAACTTAATTATTTCTGCAGTAGGAAACGATTTTCTTTGTTTATCATAGGTACTCGAATCACCGATATGCACTATCTGTAAAAGAACTAGTCATTAAAATTCAACTTGTTTAAATTTTATCTTCAACCTTTTGGCAATGAATCACCATAACACCATCTTCAATAACTTCAGGTTCATCGATCTTTTTACAATGTATAAACGTTCCAGTAAATATTTGCACATTGACGGCCATTGCTGCAAAGAGAAAGTAAGTTATAAAACATATTTGTTATGTAGATAAGTTTAAGAGAACCATTGAATACCACAAAATGGTGACATGGTGCACAATTGCAGGTTATCATTTTGGCGATTTATGATTAGATTCAAAAGGTAAAGGAATTTATGATACTAAAATTTAGAACGTAATAATGAGCTTATGACAAATTGTTTATGAAATGACAATTACATATTGACAAGATTTAGTTATTTACTATATCAAAATCTAGGGAGATATTTATACATATCAAACTTAACATATTTAATTTTTTTAAATATTTAAACATTTAAGATTTGATCATATAATTACAATAATTATATTTCGGGAATGAAGATGTGGAACGATATTTAGATTCTTTAACTGTTTGCTCGTGGAAGATTTTGGATCAGAGATGGGAAGGAAAGGAGAAGAGGAGGAATAATATACCATCTAATCCTGGAGTTAATTATCTGAACAGATTGAAGCTTGGAGACACTTAAAATCCAAGACCAAATAGAGAAACCTCATTTATTACAAGATATTTTAATTTGTACATTTGTAATGAAATGTTATAGAGAGTTGATCCCAAGAGGTAGTATTGAATATGGTTGGAAACGCTATTGAGAAAAGTTAAGAACGACTTTGTTTGTAGTTAGGAATAATGTTGAAGAAAGTTATGGACGAAGGTAGTGATGGAACTTAATCGGCGAAACTGTCGATCTTTTCAAAAATTTATTTCTCAAGAACTGAAAGTGATTTTTCAAAATGGTTTGTTGCATTACAAAGAGGATACTTTAATTAATAAGTGATGATATTTTCACAAGGATCCTTCGAGAATTTATTTTTATAGCGAATTTTGCAAGGTATCGACGAAAATTGCAACATCGAAAATTTTCTCAAAACTTCAAATATTGTTTTCTCAAAAACTAAAAGTTATTTTTCAAAACGTGTTGATTCATTGGAAAGAGGACACTCTTATTAACACTTTGGGAAATGTTCAAAGATGTTAGGAATCGTAATAAGAAAGTTTAAGGACGATATTGAGCGATATCACCTTCAGTGTTGAGTGGCCAAACGAACGATATTTACAAAGCCCTCACCTTGAGTTGAGTGATATCTTTGATGATATTGAGGGCGGCGCGATAAATGAGCTTGGTAACAATAATGAAAACAGTTACGGACACCGTTTAGCTATTAGAGGGACGATTTGATGAAAGATAACTTTTAAAGTTGTTAATTGCAATATTGATGGACGGTTTTGGTCGTGAAAGACCAAGAGCGATTACTCAAACGATCCCGTATCAGTATTTATAAGTGAGGTAAAGGAAGAGACGATATGAATTGATGTCGAAAACGACTTTGAGAGGTACCAGGGATGATATAAACGAATGGCCACGCCGATATCAATTGATACCATCAGTTATTGACGTATGTCAATTATCGAGAATAAAGGGATTTAGAATTAAGGGATATCTTATATGATCTTGAGATGTGCTAGGAACGATTTTGAAGGATATCCGTGATTATTTAGACTGTTATGACAATATTGAGAGATGTTAGAGCAAAATGTAGACAGTTTACGGACGATATTAACATATGATGTTGTGGGTTATCTGGGTTGATGTTGAAGTCTGCCAAGAATGATATTGATGAGAGAGAGATATTCGAGACGATATTGAGGAATGATAATAAAGAGAACGACTGATGAACTTTGCAAGTATCTGGAACAATATTGAAAATACTTAGGGACGTCATTGAACTGCGACACGAATGATTTTATAAAGTTGAAAGACGACTTTTAAAGCTGATATCAGATCAGTTATGCTGGAATGTCAGAGTTATCGAGGATTGTCGAGGATGCTATTGAGATGTGCTAAGGACGATTTTAACTCATGTCCGGAATGATGTAGACTATTTTCAGAAAAAATATTGAGAAATATCTGACAAAATGTGATTTAAAGGTTGGCAGAGACAATACTTGGAAAAGTTTTGGACTATCTATCAAAGATATCAAAAACGACCTCAAGTGTTATTAGAAACATAATTGTGAAGCACTCTCATTTTTTTTTTTTCAAACATTTTTAATTTTCACACCTTTTCTCCATGACATAATAATCTATAACATAAACTGAATCAACATAAACTCCATGTTGTCACAAATATCATCTAACTTTGTCAGATAAACATTACCATGAAGTTTTATCTTTGATAAGCGAGACAGATAGCAGCCGAAGTCGCTAACGGCTTCAATTCTATAATAAAATTGAGACTGCTTCAATGATGAAAATATGAATAAAATACCAAAACAAAAATGATGAAAGAACTTGTACCTAATATGCTTTACCACCACATTAACTTTTTCCCTTTTAATTTTGGAGAGATGTCAAACAAGCATCGGGATAAGTTTTACCAAGAGATAACTGTAGAAATGTGGTATATACAGATTGATTCTAATATAAGTAGAATACTGTTGGGGAATGATGTCGTATACTCATCAAATGGGCGAGCTTATTTTTTATTAAAGATTTAATTTATCTAATTAATAAGCATTTTAAACTAAATAAAATGTAAGTCTTGCTATTAGAAGAACGTCCATACCAAAAACTTGACCTGACCCGAAGAGAAGATATTGTATAATCGTAATCAATGGCCTCGAAAATTATAAATATTATTATAATTATGGGTACAAAAATTATTTTGTTTTCTTATTAGTTTGTACGATGTTTAATGCATCAAAGAAAAGTCTTAATGTAGGTTGTCAAAAACAAGTGACCGAAAGATCTTGCAGAATTTATATTATTTTATTAATCGTTTAGGAAGTAGACGCATAATATCTTTAGTATATTGCAACTTTAAAATACAGTCCATTATATGACTCTCTAACTTCCAAGTTTGTAAACTGTCCATATCTGCATACAATTCTCAAATTTTCCAATAGAAAATCTAAACGGAAATACCATTTCAATTTTATTACTTCAAACAAATTTTATGTTCCATTGAGTTTTGTTTTTCAACGATTTTTTACAATCAACTTAACTACTGCATACAAAATGATTGAAATCCGATTAGTACATAAGATAACATTCATTAAAAAAATGGACCCACTGTTTCAAATTGTTACATTTCACAACAACTCGTTAAGAATGGAATGAAAAAGAAAATCATTCAAAATCACAATGCGGTATAAAACACCTACTTCGCTTACAACTGGAACAATACTAAGCAGAATTTTACTTCGTTTACTGAAGTATCTGGAAGTCCAACAACGATGATGGGGTTCAAGTTAATTCTAATCATGTGTTTTTTTGTAAGTCACTTTTTAAATTTTTTATTTAAATTTAGTAACACAATTTTTTCTTTATTTCCAGATACTTGCAACTGGTAATACTAAAAAGTTTTTTTAATATAAAATTTTTAACTTAAAGATTTTTTTAGATGTAAACGGTTTCCTATTTAAGAAAGCTAGGTTATTGGGTGAAGATGAGGCGAAAGAGTTAATGTTATCAGGAGAAGGTGGGACCGCTATCGTTGATGTCGGCTTAGGAGATATGTTAATAGTAATGAGTGGAAAAATGTACACATGTCGTGATTTACAAATAATAGGAAGTGCTGTAAAATGTCCCAGCGGTTACGATAAATTCGAGTTCAAAAATACCAAAGATATGTGTTTCGCATTGCGATACGCTGTCAACGATGATATAGGGATTAGAAATTATTGTCTCTCCCCGAATTACGAAACAGTCGATTTCAAAATAGAAAACGGCCGGTACTTGTGCAAATCGAGTTCGAGAAGTTTAAACGCAACAATCATCACCGAAGACATTTTTTATCGCGTGTGCAGAAGACGAATTTCGGATCCAATCAAAGTCCACTTCTTTGCAAAAGATAGAGATACAATGCCTGCTGCAGATAACGTCGAATGCAGTCATTACACGTGCGAATTTATGACTTATAGAAGATCAAATAGGAGTTTTCCAGGTGCTATGATTCCAATGAGTGGCAACTTACAACCGGGACCACCTATCGTACCTCAAAGTTATCCTGGTTATCTACCAAGTGGTTATATACCAAATAATAGATATCCTCCTGTGTACCACGATCAATCAGCTGGTGGATATCATAATGATAATGCACCAGTTCAAATGGATACTCAAGGATCGTTAGTTTTAAATCAAGCTTCTGATGCTGTACAAGATGATGCAGACGCGTTGAAAGCAGCCAAACAGAATAATCAATAAACGAACAGAAATGTTTTAAATATTTGAAATGTTAATCTCATATTAAATAAAGCACCTTAAAAGTATATTATAGATGTTTTAATTAAAATTAAGATTCATTAAGTACTTACTTATTTCTTTTATTCAACAATAACTATGAAATGATGCACAACGCACTATTATTTAATAGAACAAAGTTGGAATTTAAACAAGACGTAAGACCTATTTAAGTGTATAACCAGCTGTTCATGCGGGTCATTGATATTGGAGTAACTAAAGATATACAGTATGCCTCGACTTGGGTTGCATATCGTCCTTTTAAAGTGTTTGTAATTAAGTTGTTATCGCTGGGTTATCTAAGCAGATAAGGAAAAAGTAATGTTTAAAATAAAACACTTGAGAATTTTTATTAAAAACATAGATCCAATTTTAAAAATAAATTACCCCATACATTCAAAATTAATATTTATTTATCAATCAAAAAAATAAAAACTTCACACACACAGCTGTGGTCATTAACGATGTGGGAGGACTTGTTATCATCAAAATTTCCAATAAACACCCACACCCATCTCTCACATATGTGTATCTTATGATTGTCACTAAATAGGTGGACATTTAACAAATAATGAAATTTTCCTGGATAACGACCATATTAATATTCAAATTATATTTTCAGGGTTACACTGGTATGAAATCCATTAACGCTTTATACAATTCGCTTTTATTTATCGTAAAGTCTGTTTTAGATGGTCATGCGAGAAAATCTAAGCATCTAACCGATAAAGAGGTCATTTCCAATCTTATGCTAGGCAAAGGTGGAACGACCATAATAGAAACAGGATTAAGTGAATTTAAATTCAATTAATTTTATATCGATCATAATCTGTCTCATTTTAGGCGATCACCTCGTTGCTAAAAATGGAGTCTTTTACACTTGTTCATCGATGAAAATTTTAGAAACAACTGTAAAGTGTAAAAGCAAATTCCAAGAACTAACTATAGACGATACGGAGAAATATTGTTTTGCCCAAAGATACTCAACATGGCATAATACAAAGTCAACGAAGTACTGTATTGGAAATGATGGGGAAGAAGCTGCATTTGGTTTTAGCAAGGGTAGAAAAAAATTTTTGGAAAGTAATGAAATAAATGAGGAAGATGATGAAACTGAAGAGAGTGTCATTCAATGTGTATCATCAACCGGCACTCCAGCTTTGTTTATCGATCATACTGAATACGTTAAGATGTGCAAAATAAAACCAGACCAAGAACGACTGTTTGTATTTTACGCCAACACCAAAAGAAACGTCCCGCAAATTTCTCCTGCCAGTTCGATACGTTGCGATGGGTTAGTTTGTCGGTTTCGGGCCAAGTTAAAATTGGACACAACTATCGCTAGCTCGTTCAGGCGCAACAGATAAGGTGGATACACGAAGGAATAGATAGGGGGATAGATAGATATATGAACACAAAAAATGAACATAACGACAATAAAGATGTGTACAAGTTTGATCCAAAGTGTTTTCTCTGCGACGGCATCTCAGATCGAACGGAACCACCAAATTGATATGTGGGTTGCATGGAGAAAGAGAATTGTTACCAATTGGAGTAATTTCAAATAAAGATCTTTCCGAAAAAAAACCTTATGGTCTGATGTTCATGTATTACAATACATATTTACTTAGATTTTGACAAAAACAAAGAAAGTTATTTAAAAAAGTCAAACTATGTAGTTAGAGGAAAATAAGCATTCCTTTCCACACTAATTATTACTTAAGAACGCGCGCTGGTTATTTTTACCCATTTGATTTAATTAGGGTCAAATATACATGAATAAATTGTTTTAGAACTGTTTATTAACCAAAATATATAATAGATATGGGGTAAAATGCATAAATATAAAAAGTTTTTAGTTGCTGCTGTCTCTTTCTACATACTGATGGCATTTTAAATATACGACATGTTTTCTGCATATAAATTTATTACATTTTAAGAAGTCTTGACATCTACTTGATGTAATCTTTGGACGTTTTGGTGGTCGTCTTCAACCATTGACTTTGGACATGTTAATTTAAACGCGTTTTTACGTCCCATGGGAGTGTTACAATTGTTTGTCTACATAATTCCAAAGCAAGGGATTTCAGGAAATCTCTCCTAACACAGTTTTTGTTGAATTATTATTTTTGTGTATCACTAATGCATTTATTGCTTCTATGTATAGCATATTAAAGCATACAGTTAGAGGCCATCGGCACGATTTTCTTGAAAGTGAATACGTTCCACAAAATCCATTTGCAGTATCAAGTCCACCTTTCATTGAAATATAACATTACATCATTTCTAGTTTCTTTTTTATTGAATTGCTATCAACATTCGTTGTTGTATGCATAGTGGAATCTAAAAGAATTGCTCTACCTTTCTTCAGTATGTGGAAAGTCACATTTTATTTTTTTGGAAGCCAAATAATGTTGTATAATTCGTATTTATTTTTATGGAGTGTACCAACACTCGTAATTTTATGTTTTACTAACACATTCCTCCACGTTTTATCAATGGGTTTCATAAACATTCTACAATGAAGACTGGATCATAATTTGTGTCGTATGGACCTGTCAGCTGCTTTCCTGCGTAAACTTCATAATTATTTGTATAATAATTTTGAGCATCACAAAGCAAAAATATTTTAATTCCATAAAAAAGCAGGTTTGCTCTTTAAGCATTAGCGAAATGAAGATCTTCCACAAAACGGTTATAATTTTTCATCAATCGTTGCGTATCCTCCTAGTTAGTACATATGATTTTTGAATATTTTCTCTAATCTGGAAAGAACTTCCCGGAGAGGTGCCAATTTATCAATCTTTCTTCTTTTAGTCCAATCTCTCACATCATCAAAACGCAAAACACCTTAGCAGAAACAAAAATCTCTTTATTTACACACAGGAGATGACAGATCCATTCCTAAATCATCTTTAGACCAAAATCATGCATATTTAGATGAGCTGATTTTATTACTCCAGCGTAATATAACAATCCAAATAACGTGCAAAGTTTGGATTTATTTGTAGATATTGCGTCACGTTCTCGTGACAACTGTGGACGTATATTATGGTAACCAATTATTTTAAACAATTCCCTGAGTGTCAAAAACTGATATCCTGATCGCCAACTCATTAGCCAAAGTATGGTGGGCTTAGCTGTGACTAAATCGAAGTCTGTAAGCCCGGCTGGCCAAATGTTTCAGATGAAGTTCAACAAAACGTGGTTTTGGCTGGACAAGAAAACCCTCATGTTACTATAAGGAGTATTGAGTCTAATTTGAAAAATTTGCACAAAAAAAATTGAAATCTGTAGACCCGTTTCAGGGATTTTTCCATAAACCATTTATAATGATTTTATCGCCTATATCCGTTACTTTACGGACACACTGTATGTATGTAAAAAATCGGTTCATTAATTTTTGTGTAAATATTTCGAAAAATACAACTTTTCAGGAGAAGCGTTTAAAATTCACGTACTGTTATTAAGGTGATAAATTGAAAAAACCTAATTTACCTTTAATCTTTACAGTATATCGATTTCCGCGGAATTTGCGTTTGCGTGGTCGATTTCTCGAATATTTTCTATCAATTTCGTTTTGAAATAAACGTTTTTAACACACTTTTCACAGCACGTTGATATAGCGAAATGACCCGTACAAACGGACGTTTGTGTTTCAAGACTATTGGTGGGGATAAACGACCAAAAAGACAAACAGTTAAAAAGACCCTTCGAAATCTGAGACCCTAAATGCAAACATAAAAATAGAGCCGAACGGCAGGTAAACGTTCTCAATTAGCATATGCACTGTAAAAATGGGCATATCTTCGAGATATTCCAAAAACTTAATGCTCCATGCTTTTTAATCTATTATTTATATATTTTTCCAAGTCTAAAGGTACGGAATATTCAACTTCAAGTTCGCCTAAGAAAATCAATCGGCTATTATTTCGAGTTTCGCAGGATTAATATCATGCTAGCTGTCAAAAAAAATCGTCTTTGAATCTGAGTCACCTTGCTGTTCGCTATTTGTCGGTATCATCTCACAGCTCGATAATTATAGTCATAACTTGATCGATTTATATGTTGGTGCCAATGGCCGAAATTTATCAAAATTTTAAATAACAGTTTTAATCCTAACTTTAAACCAGCCTATAACGACACTCAAATTTATTATTGCCCTAATCTTCATCTTCACCACAACAATTTGTATTGCAATCATATATAAGGCTATTTTTTTAGATAGCTTGATATAAGTAGAATCATAATGCCCTATCCAGACTAACAGTAGTATTTGCTTGTATGGTAAGGCTGATTGGACAATAATATTACTGATAATATAAAACTGTTTAAAGTTTTCTATTGCATATCATAATAAAGAAAGTGTTCCATATTGACTGTAATAAGTTTTAAATAGGTATCCTTCGATTGAAGTTAGTTGTTGATTAACAAGTATTGTTAATAAAAACCAATGTTGTGCAATACATAACAGACTGACATATTGAATACGTAAAAAATGCAGAATCAGCATACGATATGATATAATCATTAAAATTAATCTTCGGAAGAAAGAGTACGTTATCAAAATTGTATTAGTTGATTACTGTACTTTGTGGTTAGAAGCGAGGGAGATCAAGAGCAAAACAAGTGGTGAAGTCATTTACAAGATGAAGTCAATATTTGCAATCTTTGGGATCCCACATGAAATAATCGCCGATAATAATCCTTTTGATAGGGGGGAATGCAAAAAGTTTGCTAAAGAGTGGATGTTTAAAATAACCACAACTAGTCCACATCACTCGCAGTTAAATAGTTTGGCAGAAAAGGCTGTGGGAATAACTAAGAAACTGTTAAAATGTAATTGGAATTGATTTTAATTTGATATTGCTTAACCACACCACAACGTCCTGGTGAGGTCAACCTATGTTTCTCCAACCGAGATGATGTTTGGTAGACATTTCAACATGAAAATGTCGATATTGATAAATTAAAACCGGAAAATGCTAAAAAATAGGTGATCAATTACAAAGTCATCGAAACAACTATAAGAAGTATTTTGGTAGAACAACAAGAAAACCAGAGGAATTTAAAACAAGAGAAAACATAGTAATACGAGACGTAAAGTAAAAAACTTGGAATCCAGGAATAGTCTTAGCATAAGAAAATCTCCTAGCTACAAGGTTATGGACGAGGAAGGCGAAATAGCGTATTTCTAAAACACTCGCCATATCAGATAATTTTGAATGGTGTAGAAGTGTACACGATAGCGAATCAAGGTTTTGGTACAAAGTGACTCGAAGAAGGTCCAAAATTATCCTGAACTTATCAAAGTCCCAATTGAAGACAGAAAGCTAACTCGCGGGGGTAGGCTAGTCTAGATTCTGGATTCGCAGGAAGAGACAGGCTGCACCACCCGCAGCACTTTGACCTCAGCAGATCCCTTGTACTTACTTCCTTTTTTTGGTCAGCATTAGGGTCCTTCCAGCCATATTACTTTGGAGGCAAAGGCTAGAATTTGTCCTGATTGTGCTGCTCTGATTCCACTCATGAGAATCTGGATATCTCCAAAAATGAATAACCGTAATGATTGGAGTGCCACGCAATAGCATAGAATGTGTTCCGCCACTTCCTCTTCCTCACCGCATCCTCTGCAGATGTCGGTGTCACTTATTTCCATGTTCAGTAAGCGCTTCTGTAGATGCCAGTGTCCAGTGATTAGACCTATGACTAAACGTAGGTTCTTCCTGGACAACCTCATAAATAAATCTGTTCGTTTAGGGTCAGGGTAGATCAGAGCCTCCTTGGCTTGGCAACATCCTGGTGTCCTGTCCCAGTAAGTTAGAAACTTCTTACGTGTTTCCTCTTTAAGCCTGTTGCCTCTCTTTCTTCTAAGATCTATTAAAGATCTTATTGTTGGGGCAATGAATGGTTCTGGCGATCCCGGAGGTTCGCCTGCAGCTTTCGTTGCCAGTTTGTCTACCATGTCATGAAGCTTATTTCCCGAATGACACTTCGTCCAGCAGATCGTAATATCATGGCTAGCGGCTGCCTCACAGAGATTGTTATGGCAGACCTCAAGCAACGAGGATGAACAGCGATACTGCCCGAGCGAGAGGAGGGCTTGTCTGGAATCAGAATATATTATAATTTTTTTGTTACTAATTTTCTTGGAGATTTCCTCAGCCGGCAGAGAAATGGCCACCAGGTAGGCTAGTAAAACCGGCGTCATATTTAATACATTATATAACATATTTAAGAGGGGAGATGTTATAATATTTACTTTATGTTAAATAGTTGGCAACGCTAAACAACCACATTCCAATACCCCTAAGCCAAGCGTAAAATGTAATGGCCTGTCATGAGTAAAGTGTTGTCTTTTCAGTAGTTATTAAGTATTTGTATTTCAACGTTTTCCAATAAAACTAAACTAGTTAATTTGGTATTTTATTTAATATCCTTAATGGATAATACAACAT